TGAAATTAATTAGCTCTTGGAATGCTACATACATACATACATATTCTCCATTAAGGGCTTTTTCCAGCACCCTTTTGAAGTTTATTATTATTGTCATCATTTTATTATACACAAACCACAAGCTGACAGAGGCTATTCTTAAAGTAATTAATGGTGAATAATGGAATTGGAATGTGTGTGGCCAACCAAGTAAAAAGACTTCTGGCAGAACAAATGCAGTCATTAAAAATATACTTGAGCTCCTCTTATGGACTTGGGCTGACGGTGTAGGAGAATTGCGTTTGGAGAGCACCTGAATGAGGTGGCTTGGAATTCTGATCACCCAGGCGAAGAACTGTGACCCATTTGAGCATCATCAAAAAGCCTCAAAGGGCATCACAACCCCCTCTTCTTCCTCACCAGCCCCCCTCTCTCAGCAGCAGCTGTTATTGATGTGATGTGATGGGAGACAGGCTCAGTTCTACAGCAGATTGCTGGCATGTACAACAGAATTTCTTGCAAGGTTCTTGGGAGTTGCCCAGATCCCTTTATCCCCCTGGAAACCAACATGTCTGACTGCCTCCTAAAAAATACATGATAGCTGTCTTCAAGCTGGCGATCTCCAACGGGTCAGTGAGGGGAATGCTGAAAAATGAACTCCAAAACTGTAGCTTGGAGCACTCCAGTTTGTGGAAGGAAGACTTATGAAGACCTACACTAAACTCCAGGTTTGAGTCCTTGCAAAAACACTCAGAATAAATATTTGAGCCAAGCCAAATGTAGGCATGGATGAAAATGTCACTCTGTGATTATCTTTCGTTTTACTGATTAATTTTATCTGCACCTTCAGAACCAGAAGTGGGAATGAATACTATTTACAGTCAGTAAAACAGATATTCCTGGGCTTCTGAGGATGATTCCACAAAAGAAAAAATGCGCTAAACGATATGTCTGCCTTTGAAAGAAATGCTAAAAAAACCTGTGTATATTTCTAACTTGAACACAAATGTTCAAGGGGCGCAGGTGTCCCCTGATGCGTTCATTAATGCATCCATTTGCAAAATGCACACAAATATATGTACAGCATTTTTCTCCATGGAACTATTTCTACACAGTATCAGCACAGAATGTACTTAGAGGTGTGGAAAGGAAGACAGCTGCACCGATGGACTGGGCAGGTCCTTGCTTCTCTCTGTCCACCTTTTTGGAACCACTTAAGAGTGGCTTTACCCAATTTGTTTTTGGCAGAGGGAGGTAGCAACTTCCATTAGATCATAGGTGTTGGATGATCTTTCTCTCATATTATAATGAAAATATGCCACCATGTCCCCTGTTGTCTCATTTGCTTGTGCCAACTCAATCCTCCTGGAAGGGAGGCCGCAAAAAGCATATTCACTTTTTAAGGTTGTAATAGAGAAAAAGGGAACTGGTGCTCAGCTACTTCACCCATAATCTAAGGAGGAGGATGGCCAGTCTCGGAAGCCAGGCACATCTTACACTTGATTCCCCCACCCGCTTCTGATTTGCTTGTTAAGATCATCTTCCTTGCGTGTTTTCCTTTCTATTAGCAAAATGAACTGAGAATGAGAATGAACCTCTTCTAAAGAAATTACCTACCAAATATAATTAGAAATTATGATTAAAATGAGCATTTGAATCAAGGCTTCCTTGTTGTTAAATCATTATTAAAACTCATGATGTAAATCAAAATGATTTGGGACTATTTGGCTGACTCCTGAGGTTATCTGAGATATGCTAATTAGATCTAGCAGCTCTGAGAAAGACCATAAGAGGGAAATGATAATAAAGACTCAACATAACATTGATTGCATAGGTTAAATAATTAGAGGCTTGCTTTAAAGAAAAAGATTAAGTCACTGAGTCTAGGTAGGTTTGAAGTAATTGATGAATTTTTAGAAAATGTACAACTCAATGCTAGGGGTGTTAGCTTCCAAAAATTACTTTCATGTAAAATTTGCACTTGAATAAATTTGCACTTCTGAAAATGCATAAATCCCCCCACCCAGTTGCACATTTTCACACTTGAGTTTATGGAGGGATGGGAATGGGAAGTTTTGGTCACTTTAAAAAAAAAAATCATATTTTCCGATTACTAAAAGTTTGAAAATTTCAGAAAGTAAAATCTGGTCCACAAATCTGTGGAATCCAAGTGACTCGGTTTGCCAGTTGCACAACCTTTGTTCGGCAAGTGTTTGTGAACATCCTTTTGGATTGGCTCTCTTTGCAAGACTGGTCCGAGCACAAGAGGAAGTCTTCAAACACCAGATGACCAGATTCCACTCGGATTCATCCTTATAGCAGTTATTTTTCAGGACCAAAATAGATCTACTAATATTGTGACTTCCAAACTGTAGGCTAAAGTGCATTAGCATGTGGAAGTCTGCCTTGTGTATGTCTTGTTAGAGGGAAAACACACTGCGTTCAGTGAGATTTATTGCCAGGTTAGTGCGGATAAGTTTACAATCAATGCAAAACAATGACTGAGGCAGCTTACTCTTGTAAGATAGGAGCAGCATCAATTACAATGATCTTGTCTGCATGACATGAGAAGCCAACACGGTTGATCAACAGTGGTGAAGCATCATGTCTCGTGAAGCTAGCTTAGCTTCTTCAGTGTGGCCTATTTTGTCACAAGCCAGCTACTCTTGGTCCCTTGGAATGTTTTATTGTTGTTAAAACCCACAGTGACTTGTTGTCTCGCATGAACCCAGCAGGGGGATTTTACTGTAGGCTGAAGAACCACAAGGTTGTATTATAGGTTGTAGAACAGCAAGAAAACCTCTGTCAAGAATGACAAAGTTATTGCCACTCCTCACAATCTTGCTTGTACCACCTCCTTCCTTTCACATCACTTCTCAGTGCCTATTCCATACCTCTAAAAATTCTGAAGTAAGGACAGTATTTTTGAGTGTTTCCTCCATGCATTGGCAACTTTTTAATGTTTTAGTTTCCATTTAGTTAATTTTATGTTTGGCCATGCTTTGGCATGTCCTTTGGAAAGCTTGTTGCTCTGTGACCCTTGTCTGGATGTGACAGGAAGCAATGCAGGGGGAAGTGACCAGCAGGGCTGGGGAGAAGGGAGCTGCCAGCAGTTGGAGAGACGGCACTTTGCCAGAGGGTCTGCTTACTTTGGGAGTGAATCCTCTTCCCTTAAAGTAATGGGCAGCTTACCATTTGCTGCCTAGCCAAGTAAGTGCAGAAGTGGAAGAAATGAATACGGGATGCATGACTAAATAATCAAGAGGCAGACTTCAATGAAAGTCACCAGAAAAAAAAATAACATGGGGAAAATACACTTCAGCATTAAGACAGACTCAGAAACTCAATTCCATTTTGGTGAGCTGATACAACGGGATGTGAGAAGAGGGGGAGAATTTCCTTCCATAGCCAACGATCTCAGTAGGCCAGCCACTAAAAGTTGCCAGAGCAATGCAGAATTTTACCACAGGGGCACCTGGGAAACATGCAGGGGCAGCAGGAGGACTGTGGGGTGGATCAGATGAAGAACAATCCAGGGAAAGGCCAATGGTCTGTTCGGCCTACTGCGGGTTGTTCACCAAGGAAACAGCCCATAGTGGCTTCTGATGTTTCTGAGCTTGCACAAAAGGGAGGCATTAGAGTGGATAGATTTGAAAAGTGTGCATGAAAAACATGCACATTTGCAAATGAAATCAATGGGGACATGCAAACATTTCAGAACTGTCCACTAGCGTTGGGATGAACCCTGTCGGAATCATCCCTCCAAGCATTCACAGGCTTTCTCTTGTGCTCAGCTTGATCTTCTACAGTGAGCTTAGCTAAGGGGGAGCCTGTGATTGATCGTGGACCCCTGCTTGGCCAGCACGGATCGTGTTCATCCTGAACTCGATCTCAGGGCCACTGCAAAGGGCTTTTTTGACTTCCTTCAGTTTCTGATCAGGTCACAGGTGTTTCTCCCTAACTGACCATCAAGACTCTTTTGTTCTAAGGAGGCCTGGAGCATCAGGAGAGGGTCCATCTTTCTTGTTTTGCTGAGGAGTCCATCTGCCTGAGAACTGGGGCTGCTAAGTGGGCAAAATAAGGCTTTTGGCAGCTTGATGTATGTATTCATTTCTTGACTTTATATATTGCACCCAATAGTCCCACACAGGGCTCCCTGGACTTTCTGGACGAAGCTTTCCCTTTGCTCTCTTTTCTGTATCCTAGTCCCTTCTCCCTTCCCATTTCTTAAATAAACTTCTGTTTTCCTCTGGTCTGGTGTTCAGGTGAGTTGTCGTGCATTTTCTGAATAAAGTCCTAGAACAACAGGCCAGCATTTTCTAGCTGTCTGAATACTGTCTCCTGGGAGTCTCCCCCACCCTGCTTTTGTACCCAGTGAGTCCAAATTTAAGGAAGGGGCCATGTTTTCTGGGCAACAAATACATGTATTCTTTCTGGAATTCTCCTGCACCATGAAAGGCTTCTTTGTGCTAAATTTCAGAGAGCTAGATTGTATCATTTTGATTTTATGACCCACTGGATTTTCAGATATCATGAATTTCAGGTAACAGCCATCAGGTGTCAACATATTAAACAAGAATACCTACAGTCACTTTTGCTACTAATATGGATACTTACCAATAAGGAGCAAATGTAGAAATTATTGCTATACTTTGAATACAATTGCTATATTTTGAATAAAAATAAATCTCTCCACAGTGGAAAAAATTGCAACATAATGACCCATGTGCTTGCAAAGTTTGCTTGTCTATGTTAATAGGCAACTTCAAGATCTTCTATATTTTAATATAACTGATGTAGACTGGTAGCCCTTCAAACAGAGGAGTATCCTCTCATAACCTTTCAAATAGAGGATGTCCTCTCCAAAGTAAGGTACATGGACACCCAATTTAATATGCAGCTATCTTCACACTTGGATTAATCTATTCGTTTTATGCCTCTTCCTCCAAGTGTGTATATAGCTTGCCCTGTGCTTCAGTTATCATGTGGGCATTAAAAAAATAAAAAGAGTAATTCCTTACTTTTTGCATCCCACTCTGCTTCCAAGGACTCTGTTGTAGAGCTCAGAGATGAACTTGCATCCACCCCAACTTCACCCCAGACAGCTTAGCTTCTGCAATGCAATTCCACTGGGCATCACTGAAGTGCAATTTTCATTCAAGGTTTCTATTTTTCATAGCTGTTGAACACTAATACAAGAAATGCAAGAGGGTCACTTCTATGCGTGCCATGCAATATTTATTTCAACTGATTAGTAACGTGTTCTATCAAATCGGGACTTCAACATGACTCATAAAGATCAAAGTGAGCTGAAACATAGGCGTGGCTCAACAAGGGTAAAGGTTTTAAACAGAATGATTAGGCAGATACATCTGACATCACTGAATCTGAGTCTTGTAGTGTTTGCATCTCAGGGACTTCAGCTTGAAGCCCCAGTTCATGGACCTCTTGATGGCCACATGCTCAGCCGGGGAATGACCAAGCTGATATTGATAGACTCTTGACCCAGCTGGGTTCATTAGGCCAGTTGTCTGACTTGAAGCCTCCTGTGAAGTTTGGATTTTCCCATTAGTTACAGCTTGTATGATCACTGAACCGGTTTTTGATTGAACAACTTACAAGAGTCCCTTGATTGCATACCTACCATGAAGACACCAAAAGATCCTAGCCAGCCCTGGTTTCCACAGAAGGCATGCTGGAGTCCCCGCTCCCTGGCAGGCTGCAACACAAAGCCTTACTAGATCCTCCTCTTAAAACAATTCTACCCCTCTGATCAGGGATCTGCCTCAGGTTCCTTGTCCTGGAGCAATTCTGGGCATGTGCTGTATGATGTGAGACTAAAATGCCTGCTCAGGACCACCTAACAGGGACCAGAACATTGCTGTCACTCACTGTGAGTAACAGTTCCAGAGAAACCCATCGCATCCACCTGCCTTGCAAGTAGGGAGATCAGAGGGAAAATAGCTGGGAGCCCAGTTCAAATCTGCCCCTGGCCTTGATCCCAGCTGAGACACAGGCCTACCTGTAACCATCTCATGGGATCCAGGAAGTATATGAACTGGACAAACACATCATCTCCCAAACTGCAAAACACTGCCATATTTCAAGGAATTTTGGCACAAAGGCTGTGTGACTTCACATTATAGTTTGGATTTTCCCATTAGTTACAGCTTGTTATATTCTTCTGTGGTTGTAATTCTCTGCCATTTCACTTGTTTCTAAGCACCTTCACTGTGATTTCAGCCTGTGCATTCAAGGAATAACAGCTTTCGACTTGCACTAATTGACTCATGAGTTGTAAGCCTGGGAGGGATTGTTGGCTCGAATGTTCTTGACCCAGTACCTTTGTCTGGCAGCAGCAAGTCTCATATTCCTTCATGCCAATCCTACCAACACTTGCTTACTGATCACAGAAGTGCTGAGGGCCAGAATTTCAAAAGCGGTTACCTGGAATATTGTTATCCATTTCCTTGCAGCCACCATAACAGATGTGAAGCTTTGCTACAGCGGAGTTTAAAAAACTCAGAGGTAAATGTGTGTGTCTCCTTTTCTATTCATGTAATGCAGTTGGAATTGTGAGAAGGTACTATTATATCTCCCATCTAGAATATTTTAGCCTTAACTCATGCTATGTGGCATAATGATGAATCTGTAGAGGCACCTGTCATTTTATGCCCATAAAGACCTAGGATAAGCACATCCCACCCTCAAAAGAAGGAACAGGTAGGCCATTAGTAGCAATTGTTGAGGTATCTAACTTATGGATAGAGTATGGGCACTGAAGACCTACTTCTGGTATGAAAGGGAGTTAGCTTCCAACCTGAGCCAACATTTTTCAGAAGGCATTTATCTAAGGAAAAAAAAAATGTTTCTGTGCTGTTTTTCCTAATCCCTGTCCCTGAAGAAAAAAAAGCCACTTTGCAGAACTGTCTCCAAGTATGCTCTGCTAGTATTTTGATATAGACATCATTTTCTTCCCACAACACCCTTGAATGAATGTAGAAGCGAAATGGTGCCAGATTGCTAACACATTTGATTCTGCTGTTTGTGCAAGCAGGTGTGTGTGTGTGTGTGCGCACACGTGTGCAGGGGGTGGGTGGATTGGAAAATGAAAAAGAAGGCTTGCTACTACCACTGGGACATCTAGGTATGTTTAACATAGGAGAAATAAAACTCCTATGAAATATGTTGAATATTTTCTCTTTTGGAATAAATGAATGCTTTTAAATCAGAGTTTTACTGATAGAAAATATGCAAGATGAAGATTTTTATGAAGGACTATCTCCGGCATTAGAGATTCCTATACAGAGCATCCAATACATTCAATGTTATACAGTTTAAGTTTATATCCAACTGTGCTATGAGTCCTTAATATTGTGACAGTGTGAGAATGATTTGATCTATTCAATACATGTCTGTCTTCTACAGAACATATGGTGCCTATTTTCAAATTAATTCCTTCCCATAATGCACAGATAGCAATCACTAAGGGTGCCCTTAGGGACACAATCCTATGGCCTCCCCACACCCTCTGGGGAGCCAAAGGAGGTTTTGAAGGCCCAGCATTGAGGTGCTGCAACCTCAGTCCAGGGCTCTGAAGGTCAAGCCCAGTCCTTTATATGCATCAAAGATGGGGGTGATAGGATTGCACTCGGGGAAACCCAGTGTCCCCCTGTTGGCAGTTGTGCATCCCCCTTTGCTTAGGGTTAAGCATGTTTGCAAATGTGTTTGTACAAAGGGAAGTCATGGATACTTTTGAGGCAGGATCCTGCATATGCTTAGCAGGGAGTAATGTCCTCTCAAGAGAGTGGCCCTTACTTCTAGAAAAAAAAAACAAAAACAAAAACCATGGCCTGAAGTCTTCTATATAAGATACCTTGAGAGGTTTTTACCCTAAAAGTAGCCCAAGAAACAATACTGGGATAAATAAAATTGCTCTATAAATTTCTCTACAATTATTATGGCAGGTAGTATATTTGCTAGTTGGTTTAGGGATGGTCAGTCTGTCCATCTGTCTGTTTTTCCTTCCTTCCTTCCTTCCTTCCTTCCTTCCTTCCTTCCTTCCTTC